AAAAAAAAAAAAAAAAAAAAAAGAATGACATTATACCATTAACTGGTTTTGGTGCAGCCACACAAATTTCAGAGGATGCAGAGCACAGAAAGATATTCCCAGCCACACTGAAGTATAATGAAAATAAAATAATTAATAAGAATAGCAAATAAAATAAAACCAAATAACTAGAAAATGGCTCGAATTAAGAACCTCACCTGTAGTCTTTAGCACGTATATTGGGGATAGAACCACTCAAGTTATTAGACGATAAGTCCCTGCAAGACATAACCTTAGTATCCGTAACATTATTCGGTATCATCGTACTGAATGAACTTATACTTGAGAGAATTGGCAAGAAACTTACAAGAAAGAAAGACTTCCAAGGTTAGCAACACTTGTCGGGATTTGTCCAGAAAACTTGTTTTTGCTTAGCTTCCTGAATACGCATGGAGCGCATAAATAATGAAATCGAACGCGTAAAGCAACTCTGGATTTCGTAATAGTGAAAGCTTCAGATAAAAATAATATCAACATTTTCTTACAAGTAACTGAGTCGAGATAGATCACCAAGAGAGCTCGGAATTTCGCCATCAAACTGATTACCGGAAAGATCGAGCGTTTGCAATTCGGAAAGCTTCCCAATCTCATAGGGAAGATCACCACTCAACTGATTATTCTGTAATAACCTATGGAAGTGACAATAATAATATGTATAACTCCCAACTATTTTGTAAAGACATGGTTAATGTAAAAGGAAAAACAATGAAAATATATGATGGAAACAATACTATCTTAATTGTACATCAAGAATATTCACATGAAAACATCTCAAAGCACTCATATCAATCAAGATTGAAACAAAGGGAAGCCTTTAAGAAATTCATTTGAATCCACAAACATGAAGTCATTAACAAAACATGTCATGAACAATTTCAGACAAAACCCGGATAACGTTCGACGAGATCGAGGGCTCACATTGTCCGAAGGTGAGTCAAATTCCCAATACTACGCGAAAGCGTGCCGGATAATCCCATGCTCGCCATTTCTCTAACAGACAGCAACAACAACAAAAAAAAAAAAGAGAATAAATGTTGGGGCAAATAAAGAAAACTAAGAACATCATTAAACATTTGACTTAAAAGCTAAGAACTCACAAAGAAATAACAAAGCCCTCAGGGGAGCAGCCAACCATGTTCCAAGTGCAAGGGTCAACCGAATTAATATCCCACCCATCAAGAACATGATTCTCATCTAACATACCTTTCTTTACAGACATTAGGGCTGCCACTGTTTGTACAAAAATCAAGAAACCTTAATAAAAGGAAACCTTAATAAAAAGGAAATTGAAAGCAAACACAAGATAACAACATATGACAAGAACAAAAAACAGGGGAAAAGGGCTCACCTTCAAAATTGACACCTTTTGGTGAAAGAAGATTGAATGAAAACCCAGCATTAATCAGCCAAAAGAGGCAAATGAGTGAGAGAACTAATTCTACTTTTCTCATTAGATCTCACAAATGGAATAACCTTTTTTCCTCAAGAAAAAAAAAAAATTAAAAAGGGGGGTTGAGAATGAAATCTTTTTTTCAGATGATGGGCACAAACACAATAATAAAGGAGAAAAAGAAGCTCCTTTTTTCAGCCATATGAGCTTATATGGAGCTCAGCCATATTAGTGCGCACCGAACAGCAACAAAAGTATGAATCTTGGCTTTGAAAATGGCTATGGCCGCCCCAGTTATTCAACGTCCTTTGAAAATTTCAGCCTATTGGCCCCAAGTTTTTTACCTTGAAAACTTTTTCCTCTTCTCGTTTTGTGCCAAAGTCCAGATTTTTGAATAATAACTTAGGGAAATGATGAGTCCCGTTACGGTACCATTTCGTCGGGTGTTTTAAACGTTGGATACACATGTAGTTAATATAAGATAAATGATCCAACGGTTGAAACCCTCAACGAAATGGTGCCGTAATATACCACAGAAGTATTTCCCAATAACTTAAAAGTTTGAGTTTTTTTTTTTTTTTTTTTGTGCGTGTGTGTGAGTGTGTGTATTTTCAGATCTTAAAAAGAAAGTCTCATTTTCCCACCCATTTGACCTTTAAATTATTCTTAGGCTGTGTCCGTCCGTGTATAATACTTTTTAAGTCAAAGGAACCACTGCACAAAGTAAAAGGCCTTGAAAAACTCATGCTATTATTTATTGTGAAAATGTGGTATATAGAGTTTTTTTTATTTTATTATTGGAATTATACTGAGTTTATTTAAAATCTTAAATTTTAAATAGTACCATGTCTCCTTTCCCCAAAAAAAAAAGAAAAAAAAAAA